CAGGGACAGGTGTGGTGAAGGATGGGAGTGCAAAGCCAGAACTCTTTTGTGCTTTTCAGTTACACAGTGTTACAGAGGGTTTTGTTTTTGTTTTTAGTGCTTGTTGCATGCAGGCTTTCATACACAAAGTAAGTGACCTCTGCTCTCAAAAGAAACAACAAATAAATAAACATAAGCCAAAGCCCAGAAAGAACCCAACAAAACAAAACAGCTACTCTTATCTATGTCCCACAAAGCCTATATACCACCTTGGGAGGTGGATATCTTGGTGCTGTTCAGTTCTCAGAGCCAGAGATAGAAAGCTCATCTGTTAGAGATAACACCTAAACTACCCCTCCCCTTTATAGTATTCCCTGATTCTCCATTCCTTACAGGATGTAAGAACCCATATGGTAAAGAGAATAAGTAAGTTTTAGAGGAACTTCTCAGTGGCCACAGACTTTTTAATCAGTGGTGCTACACCCCGTGTTCCCAGTTGTCAGGCTCAAGTCTGGAAGTTGTTGACCTTCAGTGTGTCCCCTACCACCACTGTTGATGCTGAAATTACATGGCCATCGGCCATCTGTTTTTGGGCCCTAAATTATTGACCACATTTAACAGTAAGAAATGAGAATACTTGATTTTAATGATATTTTTATAAAGTCTACATATTAAGGCAATTATAAATGCTTTTTTTCTGCGTGTCTTATCTGAATATAATCCTGTATCACTTAATGATAGATCTAGAAGAGGCACTGTGGTTGGTTTCACTATATGAGGATGAGTGTTTATACAAACTTTCCTGTTGCTTCTCAGCTGTAAATCTGTATATCATGTTGTTATTGTATAAAATAATGTAGTTGTAAGACAGTGATATTTATGTATCTAAACAGAAAAGGCACACAAAAATACAGCATCAAAGTTAACAACAATTGTTATGCTTGTGTATAGTATATACAGGGATTTTGCTGCAGGCTCTGAGCCAGTGAGTAAATGGAAGGCCTGGTATGCTATAACGCTGTGGGCTTTATATACCCTGTATATTCCATGAGTGTGAAGGTCCAGAACATTACACTGCCATAAGCTTTATACCTATAGGTACTGTATATTCCTGTGGAGTGGTGAGTGACAAGGCTCTGGGTACTACACTTCCTTAGGCTTTATGCATACTGTATATTTGTTATATGATTTATTATTTAGTTTTTTTTGAAACAAAGTCTATGTAGCCTGGACCAGCCTAGTGCTCGCTCTACTGACCAAGCTGGCCTTGAACTTGTAGTGCTTTTTCTGCCCCTGCCTCCCATGTGTTACAATTACTAATGTATGCCACAGTGTCTGTCTGTGCTATATTAGAGCTACATTTTTTTTCTTCAAACTTTTTTTTTTGGGGGGAGGCAGTATTAAGACAATCTCATAACTTAGTTTAAGCTGGCTTTGAACTTGTGATCTTCCTCTGTGTGTGCATGTGCATGTGTGTGTATCAGTGTAGAGATGCATTTTAAAGAACCTGATGCCTAGAGAATATCAGCTTGGCCGAAGAATGGCTTGGTTTTTGCAGTTATATTAGGAAGAAAATGCTGTTTCCGACAAAGTTGACGTCTCAAACAATGCTTTATTAGAATATGGATAGCAGAAGACTTCAAAAAGCTGCATACTCAGCACAATCGAAAATTGTGTGGCTGTCCTTTAAGTGTATTGCAAAGCAGTTATGTGGACATTTTACTGGATGATTGTGCTCTTTTCTGAGTTTGGTCAAAGCTACTCTTTAACTCACTAAATAGTAATGCTTTTTTTGTTTTATGTATGTACCTAGAAGTGTCACAAGGTTTTGGTAAAATGCATCTTAGTTTTATTAACAAAGCAAGTTTCTTACGTTTTATTTCTGGGAGGTTGGATATTCTTTCATGAAAATGCCTTTAAGCTTATGTTTCTACCTTGTTTAATAAAATTACTCTTAAAGTATCTTTTTAGCTATAAACTGGATTGTTTCATAATTTGAAAATGTGACCAATCTAAATGAAAGCATGACAAAGCTGAGGGAAAATCCACTAATTTCAGCTAAATAAGTTCTTAAAGTAAAAAAGCCTATTCACACAAATTTATGTAATGGCTAGAATAATTGGTTTATTACACAGATGAATCATTCTTGAATGTACACGCTCCAGAGGAGCAATTGGGTCTTTATACACAAGTTTTTTTCATCAAATTGAACTTTTACCCTTACATCCAAATGGATTAAGCAGTTAATATAATAAAAATAAGAGCTCTTAGTGATGAGTCAACGGAGAAACCACAAGTAAACCAAAGGATATGGAGAGAAAGTGTGAAAGGAAGAAGGTTGAGTCATTGAGGTATAAAAGATTTGAGAACAAAGCCAGTCACACTTGATGGACCGATAGCGCCAGTCTATTTTTGTTGACCAATTAGACTTTAAAATACAAGAGGTGGGTTGGCTTAATCTGGTTGGCTTTAATGTTCATTTAAGTTCTAGGTCTTTTGGAATAAAATGAGTACAGAAATGTTCATGTTCTTCACCTAGCTTTTCATAAATTTTAAAAATTTAAATTTAAATGGCTTCCACTTAAAAGCAATCTCGTCGTCTCTTGTAGGTTGGGTTCCTTCCCCCTTCTGAGCAGGGTTGTGTGCCCACCACCCCACACCTGTGGTTATCCAGATTAAGTCAATAAGGAAAACTTCTAATCTCACATCTAGTTATGCCTGGAGAACACTCCTCTGCTAGGAGACAGTGTTGGTACAGAAGCACAGTATTTCTGGTGTGTGCAGCATGCAGCAGTACTGTACATCAGATGAAGACCATGCACCAGGGAGGATCAGTCCGGTACAGCGTGGGTTCATGGGAACAGAACAGTCAAGTGGGAATCAAAAGGACTTTCTCTTTCAGAGTTCCCCTAGCTTTATTTGTAGAGGATATCCAATAATCTCTTTAGTCACATGGCATACTTCTGAGTCCATTCCCGAGCTGTTCTGTTGTACTTGTCTCTATCTGTTTTGTAGATCTGAGCAATCTCAGGCACTAAGGGATCATCTGGATTGGGATCACACAACAGAGAACTGATGGACAAAAGTACTTTTGAAATAGTTAGTGCTGGAGACCATTGTGACCGAAGAATATCAAGACAAATGCTGCCATTACTGTTAACATTTGGATGATAAATTCTTGTTGTAAATTCAACCTTAGGTGGTTTGAAGGGGTACTCTGTTGGGAAATCAATTGTCAAGAAAAATGCTCCGCCCTGATAGGGACTATCATTTGGCCCCATGATTGTAGCTTGCCAGTGGAACATATCTTCCCCGACAGGACCTGCTGAACACTGTGCTGGGGGATCCTGTGCCAGGTCGTTCAGTTCCTTGTGGATTCTCTTCAGAGCCATGGTGGAAGGCTGTCTTGGTGGGCCCCAGGTGGAACGAGGCAAGCACTGAGGGCTTGGGGCTGTCTTGTTGGTTTTGGATTAGCCGCAGAAGAGGAGGCGGGCAGTTCTGGCCTGGCCCTGGCAGAATGCGCTGAGGGCCGAGGCCCACTCAGCTTCCGGGCCAGCCACCGTGGACACTATCTGTCTTCACATCGGTTGGCGCATCACCCTGTAGCCGCCCTTTTTGTGCTGCCGCGGTAGCTATCTCTTCTGAGACCTTAGCCTTTGTGGATCCCTCCGCCGGAGCCTCTGCCCAGGGCTCGTGCCAGGCAGCCTAGCTGCAGCGGTACCGCAGAAAGACGCCGTTTGGGCAGCTCGGGAGGATGACGGTTGGTCAGGGATGATGTGGTTGGCAGTGTAGTAGGTTTTTGTTTGTTTGATTTGTAACACAACCATCATTACAAACTCGTAATAGGTTGTGCTATGATGTCATGATACAGCTGTCACCAGGTTACCAGATTTTACCTTTGGTTCACTTTCAACAAACCACTGACGACCTGCAGTTCACTTGGAAGAGACTTGTTGTGTCAAGTATTCCACAGTGTTTCAAATCTCAGAAGAAACTTTTTATTTTTTAACTTTTTAAGAAGAGAATTTTAATCTTTGTAATTAGAACTTTTGAGAAGAACATTCTAAAATTTTCTAGAATATTAAAGAAACTTGAGAAAGCAGCTATATTGTTCACACCTCTTCTTTTTACAAAGTGCTGAAAATAACCTTTCACTAAATAATTCATATTTTTAAACACATTTTGGAAAGTTTACAGTAATTAAAAGGGAGCTGTACATCTTCATTCCTACTCCCAGTTTTACGCCTTCTCTTTTATTTTAGGAAACAGTCAAGTAAAAAAGGAAAAACAAACCAGAATAAACAATAGCAAAACTAAAAAGCACAAGAAACACAGATATAAAAATAAAACCCATAATAACACAAAATTAGATCCTATAATATACAAGAAAATGACCAATAAGATTTTAAAAAGAAAGCCCAAACAAAGTAGTAAGAGACAAAAATAAAAACCTGTAAAACCACAAGTTAGTTTTGTATTGGCCATTTACTGCTGGGCATGGGCTCTGCTCTCAAGTATGGTTATATACCCAGTGAGATTCCATTAGAGAAAGCTAACCTTTTCTTTGCAAGTGGTTGTGAACTGGAGATGGCTTCTATGTCCACTTTCCCCTCTCAGTACTAGGACCCCATCTGACCAGGACTGGTAAGGGCTCTGTGTATGACGCCACAGTGTCCGAGTTTCTATGTGCATGATTCCTGCCGTGTCTAGAAGGCCTTGTTCCCTGTGTCCTCCATCCCCTGTGGCTCTTCCAGGCGTTCTGCCTCCTCCTCTGTACAGCTCTCTGATCTCTGCATAGAGGGGTTAATAAGACATCCCGTCTAGGACAGTGCTGCAGTATCTCTCAGTCTCTGCACACTGTCCGGCTGTAGGTCTCTGTATTGGTTTCCAGCTACTATAAGGAGAAGCTTCTCTAATAATGGCCAAGTGAGACACTGGTCTGTGTGTAGAGCAAATGTTGTTAGTCTTTTTGTTGCTATGTTACTTTAGCAGAACAATAGTCTTTGGTTTTCTCCTAGGCCTGTGGCCTATGCAGTCTCAGATTTTTGGCTACCTGAACAGTGTCAAGCATGGGTTCCATCTTGTGGAATGGGCCTTCAGTCCAATCCGATAGTGGCTAGGTATCCACAGTATTGGTGCTGCTATTGCAGTAGCATTCTATACAGACAGGTCACTATTTTTGAGAGTAAGGACTCAACTCCATGTAACTCATCCATGGCACTGGAAGTTTGATTTGGTGGTGTAAGATGTCTACTTGGGGTTCTCCATGTAGATTTCTTTTATATGTGTATAGATTTTAAGTAGCTCCTATAGGAATAGGTTTCTATATGACTTTGCAAATGGCCCTTAGTGTTAGGTGTCCCTCCTCAATATTCCCTCTCTGGTTCCACTCATCACTTTCCTTTTTAATCCTTCTGTTCCAGTCTCCTTAGCCCCAACCCCCACTGTCTTTGGTTCTATTTGGAGTAGAGTCTTCTGCAGGGCTCTAAATGTATAAAGTTTGATTTCTTCCGTACACAGTCATCTAGTTTGACCAGCACCATTTGTTGAAGATGCTGTCTTTTTTTCAGTGTACATTATTTTCCTTCTTTGGGTGTCCATACATGTATGCACTTATGTTTGGGTCTTGAATTTGATTCTGTTGTTCAGTGTGTTTCTTTTTATCACTATAAGTGTATTACAACTAGAAATCTGAGGTGATGATACCTTCAGCAGTTCTTTTATTATTCAGGATTGCTTTAGTAGTGTGTGTGTGTGTTTCCCTATGAAGGTGAAATTTTTTTTTTTTTCAATTTCTGTAAAGAATTGTGTTGGAATTTTGATGGCGATTGCATTGAATTTGTAGATTTGCTTTTGATAGGATGGTCATCTTTACTATATTAGTCCTACTGATCAATGAATGTTGGAGATCTTGCCAGCACTTGATATCGTCCCAATTTCTTTCTTTAATGTTTTAAAGTTTTTATTATACAAGGCTTCATTTGCTTGGTTAGAGTTACTGCAAGGTAATTTGTTTACATATTAATTTTTTGAAGTTGTTGTAAAAGGTACTGTTTCCTTGATTTCTTGCTTAGTCTGTTATTTGTATATGGGAAAACTTCTGATTTTTTTTGTGTTGATTTGTATCCTGCTTCTTTTCTGAAAGTGTTTTTTAGCTTTAGAAGTTTCCTGGTGGAGTTTTTGTTTTGCTTTGTTTTGTTTTCTTCAGAGATATGGTTTCTTTGTGTAGCTTTGATTGTCCTAAAACTAGCTCTGTAGACCAGGCTAGCCTTGGTGCTGGTATTAAAGGTGTGAGTCACCAGCACTCAGTTCCTGGTGGAGTTTTAAGGGTCATTTATATATAAAAATCATGCCATCTGCAAATAAAGATGCTTTGACTTCCTTCCTTCCTGTTTGTATCCCCTTGATCTCATTCAGTTGTCTAAATGCTCTAGCTAAGACTTCATGCAGTGTATGTTCTGAATAGGTATGGAGAGAGTGGACAGCCTTGTCTTGTTCCTGATTTTAGTAGCAATGTTTTGAGTTTCTCTTCATTTAGGTTGACATTGGCTGTGTGGGCTTGCTATAAATCACCTGTTTTATGTTGAGGTATGTCCCTTGTATCTCTAGAATCTCCAGGAATTTTATCATGAAAGGGTATTGGATTTTTTTCTCTTTTTTCCTTTTTTTTTTTTTTTTTGGTTTTTCGAGACAGAGTTTCTCTGTGTAGTCCTGGCTGTCCTGGAACTCACCCTGTAGATCAGGCTGGCCTCAAACTCAGAAATCTGCCTGCCTCTGCCTCCCAAGTGCTGAGATTAAAGGCATGTGCTACCACTGCTCATCTAAAGATTTACTTATTTTTATTTATTTTACACTGTAGCTGCCTTCAGACACATCAGAGGAAAGCATCAGATCTCATTATGACAGTTATGACCCTCCATGTGCTTGCTGGGAGTCGAACTCAGGACCTCTGTTAGAGTAGTCAGTGCTCTTAGCCTCTGAGCCATCTCTCCAGCCCTGGATTCTTTCAAAGGCCTTTTCTGCATCTAATGAGATGATCGTGTGGTTTTGTCTTTCAGTCTGTTTATATAGATGGTTTACATTTGTCCGTTTACATGTAATGAACCATCCCTGCATCTCTGGGATGAAACCTACTTGTATCTTAGTAACTGTGTCCTTGTAAAAAGAACTGGGCAGTATTCCTTCTGTTTCTGTTTTGTGCAATGATTTGAATAGTATTGGGATTAACTCTTCTTTGAAAGTCTGGTAGAATTCTGTACTAAAACCATCTGGTCCTGGCATTTTGGTAGGAGTATGTATTGAGAAAATTATCCATTTCTTTTAAATTTTATAATTTGGTGGAGTTCAAGTTCTTGAACAAAAGGGACATAACAGCAAACACTAAGAAAGAAAGGAGTTTAAATGCAGTTATGTCCCTTTTGTCTCTGATCTTGTTAATCTGAATAGTCTCTTTTCCACCTTGTAGTTAATCTGGCTAAGGGTTTATCTTGCTGACTTTTGTCCAGAACCAACTCTTCCCTTCGTTTAAACTTTGTATTTGTTCTGATTGGATAATTTCAGCCCTGAGTTTGATTATTACTTGCTGGAGACTGTTTTGGGTATTAGTTCTCTCTTTGTTGTGAAGCTTTCTAAGTGGAAACCTGGGATCTCTCCAGTTTTTTTCAGGAGGGCACTTAGTGCTATGAAATTGCCTTCTCTTAGCACTGCTTTGGTTACATTACATCCCATAGTTTTGAATATTTTGTGTTTTCATTTTCATCCAATTCAAAGAAAGTGTTTAATTTCCTTTTCCATTTTGATCTTGACCCATTCTTCAGTAGTGGGTTGTTCAGTTGGTGTCCAACTTTAATTGGTAGCAGTCTCATAGGATGCAGGGTAATATTTCAGTTTTCTTTTATCTATTGAGATTTGCTTTGTGTCCAGTTACGTGTTCAGTTTTGAAGAGCATTCCATGTGCTGCTGAGAAGAAAGCATAGTCTTATTGTTTGGGGAGAAATGTTCTGTAACTATCTGCTAAGTATGTTAGGTTTATGATATTATTGAACTCTAGGATTTCTCTCTTTAGTTTTTGTCTGGATGATCTATAGGTGAAGGCTGGGTATTGAAATTATTTGTTATCAATATATGATTTTACCTGTAGAAGTTTTTTCTTTATGAACTTGGGTGCCCTTGTGTTTGGTGTATACATGTTTAGAATTACACAATCTTTGCGGGTTTTCCTTTGAATGTGTAATGTTCTTCCCTATCCCTTATGCTTAATTTTATTTTGAAGCCTTATTTTGTCAGATATTGAAATGGCTCCACCTGCTTACTTCTTGGATTCATTTCCTTGGAGTATGTTTTCTGTCCCTTTTCCCTGAGGTATTGTCTATCCTTGATGGTAAGGTGTATTTCTTGGATGCAGCAGAAGGATGAATTTTGTTTTCTAATTCATTCTGTTAGTCTGTATCTTTTTATTGGGGGAAAATTAAGACCATTAATACTGAAACTTATCCCTGAACAATGTTCCTTTTATTTTGTTGGTGTGGAGTTTTCATCCGTCTTTTGATTCACTGTCTTGGTATGATGTATTCCTTGTGTTTTTTTGGGCATGGGTAACTTCTTCAGATTAAAGCTTTCCCTATGACACTTTCTATAGAGCTGGATTGGTAGATAGATAATGTTTAAATTTGGTTCTTATTATGCTCTATTTCCCTATGTTCGTATATTGTGATTGATATAATCTGGGCTAGCATCTGTGGTCTCTTAGAGTTTGTAGAGTATTCATTCAGGCCTGTCTGGTTTTAGAGTCTTCATTGAGAAGTCAGGTGCTTTTCTAATGGCTCTGCTTTTATATGTTACTCGGTCTTTTCCCTTGTAGCTTTTACTATTCTGTCTTTGTTTATTATGTGTGTTGAGAATTTCTTTTCTGGTCCTGTCTGTATGGTTCTTGTACCATGATAGGGACCCCCTTCTTTAGGTTAGGGAAAATTTCTTTATGATTTTGTTGAAAATATTTTTGTGCCTTTGATTTGGTGGTGGTGGTCATGGTTCTCCTTCTCCTCCTCTTCTTTTTCTTTCTGTAATTTGTAGATTTTCATAATGTCCCAGATTTCCTGGATGTTTTATGCCTGAATGTTTTTAGATTTAACATTTTCTTTGACTGAGGTATTCTATTTCTGCTACCTTGTCTTCAACCTGAGATTTTCTCTTCCATGTCTCGTGCTCTGTTTGATATGCCTTACCTCTGAGGTTTTTGTCTGTTGGGGTTTTCTTTATGTCCCTCTCTGCACCTTCAGGCCTTAACTGTTATACTCATTTCCTTCTACTGTCTGTGCTCTCATAGACTTCTGTAAGGGATTCGTTCATGTGTGTTAGGTCCTTAACTGTATTCATAATTGCTACTTTGAAGTTCTTGTCTCATGCCTCAGCTCTATTGCCTTTCTTATGGCTTACATAGTAGGGTTGGGTTCCTGGGTTCAGGTGGAGACTTTTGCCTAGGATAGTAATCATTGTGTTTTTTGCATTGGTGTCTTTGCATTGAGGCTTAGCACGATTGAGATGCCTGTAGATGCTGATTTCTGGTCTTGTCTTTGTTGAGTGAGTGTTCCATCCCTTGGCGTCTGTTGCCCTCTCTGGATCATAGGAAAATGTGGTTGTGGGTTGCCTGGTAGGGAGTGCTTCTTAGGTTGGTGGGTGGCAGAGAGGAATAGAGGTAAGCTAGGAGAACAGGCTGAGAACAGCTTCAAGAAAGATCCAAGGGGATCTTATCCACACCGAAAGGTGGGGGCAGAGTCCTCAGGCTGTTTGTATAGTTGGAAGAGGGTATCCTACAAGCTAATTGCAGTAAGGCAAAGAATAATAAAGGGTAGGGAGTCCCTGTCAGCCTTGGCCATGGGGGTTGGGGGTACAGGTAGGAAATACAGGGAGGGCAGAGAAAAGTTCACAGGAAGGAGTAAATTGGAGACTAAACCAACTGTTCAGCAACAGTCCCTAGGGAATGGATTGGAGGTGGGGGACTGCCGCTGGGGTTGGGCCTGGAGAGAAGAGGGACCTCCAAGCTGACTTCTGTATGTAGGGCTCTGGGTGAGACTGGAGGGATTGTAATGGAAGACAGGAAGTAGAATGAAAATTGCACACTTCAGTCCAGGATTGGGGTGTCCACTGGGGAGGCCCAAGACAGTATTGTTGGCTGACCCAAAGGAATGGGTATGACTAGGAAGCAGGGCTTAGTGGCCCCCAGAAAGGGGGAAAGCTGGGTCTGCTGCAGTGTTTGGCATCCCCAGGGAATGGAGGTGGACTGAAAGGAGAGGGATCTGCAGGTTCATTTCATAATCTGACACTGGTTTCTGAGAGGCGTGTTGACTCCATGCTGGCTAGATTTGGTGTTTGGAGACTTTAGAGTTAGTGTGATTTAAATTGTGCTTCTGTGTTGTGTAAAGACATTGGACTGTCTTTACGTGATTATTGCCTATTTCATTATCTTCCTGTCTTCTTTGCTTCTAACAATATTTGGGAAAATTTTAAATTATTTAAATTGCTATTGCTATGAAAATATATTAAATGTTTTCCAAATAAGAGTAGAACTTATTTGTTTTTATAATTTATAATATAGTATGATTTATAGTATATCTTCTAGATATATGTACAGGCTTTTTAAAACTTTGGTATTATAACATTCTTTTTGCTTAATATACTTGCACTGGACTGAATACTGTAAGGGCTATAAAGATGTTACCGATCTGACTTCCGAAAGGTAAGATCTTATAATCACAAAATAGGATTTAACTCATGTTTCTTTTCTGCCTCAGTACTCATATTTTTTTAAAGTAGTACTGAGAACATTTGTTGTCCCCCAAACAGATGATTGTTTTGAGAATTTACTGAAAGTGACATTAGACAAATTGTACGTCTCCTATCTGAACCCTTTATCATTTTTGACCACATTTTCTAGACTTCCTTTACAACCTATGCATATGTGATTGAAATTGGGAACTTAATACTGTAACGAGTCATGGAGTAGAGTTTTGATTTTTCAGGGCAAGGTTTCTCTGTGTTGCCTTGGCTGTCTTGGAACTTGTTCTGTAGATCAGATTGGGCTCAAACTTACAGAGATCCACTTGCCTCTATCTCTCAAGTGCTGGATTTATGGCATGCACCACCACCACCTGGCTGGAATGGATGTTTTACATTTCCTTAACCATCTTTGTTTTGAGAGGACCCTAAAACATGGCTGCAATCTCAAAAGCCACCAGGGATCTTAAGAGACAAACCCAGTTTTATAAGACAAGCTGAGTGATGTTCAAAGCTATTGGTTAGCCTGGGCTGTGGGCTAATGAGGGATTATAGAGCATAGGAGATTTCCATACTTACTGCTACTGGCTAGTAATCTGAGCCTGGTTTTGCCACATCTTTACGTATAATGTATAATTGCAACACACACACAGACACACACAGACACACAGACACACACACACACAGACACTTTGGATAGATAGGCTATACATGTATGTAGAACAGGAAAAAAGAGAAGGGATTTGGTCAATCATTGGTCCCATAGTCAATGTGGGATTTAAGGGTTAGTGAATCCATAGATTCTATTGAGTTTTTTCCAAATATATGTACCCCATAGAGCCACCCCACCCAAGTCTCCCTAATTTGAATGTAAAACATCTAAAAATAACACTATCCATCTATCTACCTACCTACCTATCTATTATCTATTTGTCTGTATATCTACCTATCATCTGTCTATCATGTATCTATCTACCTATCTATCATCTGTCTATCTATCTATCTATCTATCTATCTATCTATCTGGGGGCATTTGTCAAGGTCAGAGGATAACTTGTAGGAGTTGCTTCTCTCCTTCTACCATGTGAGCCCCAGGGATTGAACTTAGGTCATCAAAGTGCCTTGACCTGTTAAGCCTATTGGTCCTTGAATTGTTTTTGAAATTGTCCAGGCTGGTCTTAAAACTCTTGGGATTAAGTGAACTTCCTGATAGGTGAGTCTATTCTGAGATTCTGAGACTATTGGTGTGCACCACTGTGCTGTGCACCACTGTGCTGTGCTTCCTTCCTTGTTTTGTTTGTTTTTAAAGTATTTCTTTTGTGCGTGATGTTGTGGCACACATGTATAGGTCAGAGAAGAACCCAGGGGAGTCAGTTCTTTTCTTCCATTATGTGGGCACTGGAGATTGAACTAAGGGTGTTAGATTTGGCAGCAAACACTTTATTCTCATTGGCTCCTTTATTTTCAGTGGCAATATGAATTATAGTGGGGCTGATTGTATTAAATGCTTATAATACATTTTACTGGTTCAGCTTTTTAATTGCTATGTGTAGTGAAAAAGTGCAAAAGTTGCTGATTTCAACCAAACAAAAATTGTTAAAACTGTAACTTAGAGCTGGCATGATGGTACTTGTCTTTAATCTTTTTGGGAGGCAGAGGCAGGTGGATCTCTGAGTTCAAGGCCAGCCTGGTCTACAGGGTGAGTTTCAGGACAGCCAGGGCTACAAAGAGAAACCCTGTCTTAACAACAAAAAGTAATTATCATTGTGAAGTTTTTAAATGATGTCCTTACTTTATCTAGTATCATGTAAGATGGTATCTTAAACAGTTTTAATTTTGTTTAGATTAATAGAAACAGACAGTAAGTCTTTAAGATCAGTGAATGGATCAAGAAGAAACAGTGGCTCCTCTCTTGTATCAAGTTCGTCAGCCTCCAGCAACCTCAGCCACCTAGAGGAAGACTCGTGGATTCTTTGGGGAAGAATTGTGAATGAATGGGATGATGTACGCAAGAAGAAAGAGAAGCAAGTGAAGGTATTTGCTTTGTTTACTGAAGTTCTTTCTCTTATCCCAAGGGTAAGAGACCTGGACTTGTAGGGTGTTAGGAAAAACGGAAGGATTCTTCTAGAAACCTGTGTGCTGTGTTAGGAAAAGGTTGCCTTTATGTCTTCATCATCTGTGCTTGATAGAAGTCTAGGTTGTAGAAATTCAAAGTTGAAAATTTTTAGAAGTTAAATTCTCCCATTTTGTAAATTCAGAAATGAAGTTGTGACATTCCGTGTTAGTGTTTTGCCTTTTTCCTTCAGCAGCCCTTTGACTGACAGTGCACTAGCACGATGTGTGTGGGCCTTCATACTTTCAAAGGCCTCAGTGAGATGACGACAATTTATCATGGCTTTGTAGCCTCTGATCAGAGCTTACCCAAGGCCAAATCGTAGCCTATTTAAAAAATTTCATTATTATTTAACAAACTTTGTAAATTATAAAATTCATAAGGCTTTCCATTTCAACACTCCCCTCCCTAGAACTCTTGGATTACAAGGTATAAGACATTTAAATTTTTGTTTTCTTTTTGTTTTTAGGAGCTTGTTCGTAAAGGGATACCCCACCACTTCAGAGCAATAGTTTGGCAACTTTTATGTAATGCACAGAGTATGCCAATTAAGGACCAGTATTCAGAACTCCTGAAAATGACTTCACCTTGTGAAAAACTGATCCGAAGGGACATTGCTAGAACTTACCCAGAACACAACTTTTTTAAGGAAAAAGATAGCCTTGGACAGGAGGTTTTATTTAATGTAATGAAGGTGAGCTCTGTTTACTCATTTTTTAAATAAAAGAAATGATTTTGTAAGAGGTTGAAATTACACATTTCCATAATGAAGCATGAATTTCCATTATATTCAGGTACTTGGGTGATAACTTAGTTTTAGTGCTTTAATTCTGATACTTCATCAACATGTAGTTTGGGGAACTTATTAGAAAACTTGTCACATTATTTACCATTGGTTGACAAAAAAGATACTTACTCTCACCGACTATTGCAGGGTGCTTTATGAGGATAGATGGATGGTTCACACTCTAACAGCTTCATGACCTTTGAGAATAGTCTTAGTTGTTAGTGTGCTCGGCTCTTTAAAAGTTTACTCTTGGTTCTTCAGTATTGCCTTCCCAGTTTCTTTTTCTCCCATCTACCTCTGTGAAATTCTAACTTCTTAAATCATTTGAATTTTGTTGTTTTACCTTAGCTGTATGTACTATTTACCTCTCTCAGATAAAAATTTTACTTGACTTTTAAGCTCTGTGACCTTTCTGAGTACAGATTGCTTTATTTTCTTTGTCCTCAGGAGCTGCCACTTTCTTATTTGGAAATTGTCAAAATAAATTTTATGTAATAAACTATTTGCTTTTTAAATATTTATAGAATAACATCTCCAACAAGTAAGCAAGAGCTTTTTACAAAAATAAATGAACTTTTAATTTAACTGTCTCACCAATTTTAGGTTTTTGGAGAAGAAAGATAGAATATACACGTTGAAGTATTTTGAACATCATATCTTACTTTTTAGGCGTACTCCTTAGTGGATCGTGAGGTTGGGTACTGTCAGGGCAGTGCTTTCATCGTTGGGTTGTTGCTTATGCAGGTGAGTTAACGCATGTAAGTAGTAACTGTCTTAAGTTCTTAAGGTCAAATGGAGAATTTAAAAACCATCTTCAGTGTCACTGAGTTAAGCAGATTTGTGTTATCCCCTTTAACATAACGTACATAGTAATTTACACTTGAACTTTGAAAGTAAATGACATATGGTAATACTCTCTTACCACCAAAAGAAATTTCACGTCCTGTTATCCTCTTCCCTCCACTCACCTCCCTCTGTCCTTCTGCCTCCTCTTCCCTCTTCTCTCCTCTTCCTTCCTTCCTCTTCCCTCCTCTCTCCACCTTCCTTCCTCTATCTTTCTCCTTTCTTCTTCCTTTTCTGGAGATCGAACCTAAGACTTCATATGCTGTATCACTGAGCTGCAGGCCCAGCTTTTTTTTTTTCAGGCCCAGCTTGCTTGCTTGCTTGCTTGCTTGCTTTCTTTCTTTTTTTTTTTTTGTTTTTCGAGACAGGGTTTCTCTGTGTAGTCCTGGCTGTCCTGGAACTCACTCTGTAGACCAGGGTGGCCTCAAACTCAGAAATCCCAGGCCCAGCTTTCTAACTTGAAAAAATAATTGCAAAATCTTTTTATATGTACTCTGTATGTGATCATGTGTTGTGAGTCAACTTTGTGTGGCCATGTGTGTGGTCAGACACAACTTGGAGGGATTGGCAAGGCCTTTGCCTGTTGAACCTTCTTGCCAGCTCCTTGACTTCTTTTTTATGTTTCTGTAGACTTTATTTTAGTTATCTGTGTGGGAGGGTTGTGCACATGCCTTTAGTGCCTGTGTGGTTCAGAAGTGGGTATTAAATTTTCAGCTTCCCAACATGGATGCTAGGGACCAAACTTGGGTCCTCTGCAAGAGCAGTATGAGATTTTTAACTGCTGAGCCATCTTTCCCAGCCTCCCCCTTTATTTCTTAATATATGCAAGTGTACCAAGATGTAGCGAGCCGTTTTGCTGCTCCGGTCCGAGGGTCAGGGAACAGAGAGAGAGTGGGGACAGGGACACAAAGAATGGAGACAAGACGAAGTCTGGTCAAAGACAAGGTCTGCCTGCTGGAGACAGAGTCTGAGTCTGTCTGCTCTCTGTCGAGTCTGTCTAGTCGAAGTCTGTCTGGAGACGAAGTTTGTCTGTTCTGAGTAGTCTGTCTGCTCTCTGCCTCTGACTCTCCATCGAGTCTGTCTAGCTCTCTGTCGAGTCTGACTAGCTCTGACTCTGGGTCTGCCCTGGCCTCTCCTTTTATATCTCTCCTGAGTCAATCAAGTGCTGGGATTAAAGGTGTGTGCCTGGCCTTGACTGAAAGGATCAAGATAATTATCAGAGTGTGTTCAGCTGTTGTAAACAAGTCTCTTGTCAAGGTACATGGTTCAAGATGGCTGCAAAGATAATAGCCGATTTCGGCTCAGAGTTGGCTCCCAACACCAAGATATTCTACAAAAACTTTTTACCTGTTTTAAATTTTATTTGTCAACATTTGATGGGGAGTAATCTTTTCCCAACCAAGGATGATAAGACTAAAATTTCATTTAAAGTCTTATTTATGTGATTTTCATGTTTGGAAATATATATAGGCATGTTATATATCATCTAGCTATAGGCTTGTTATTTATGTTTTGTACTAAAGTTGTGTTACTCAGCTATCTTTACTGTCCCAGAGATTTGACGTTGTTATTGACTAATTTTGGAGTGGATTTGGGGACAATTCTTAGAATTTAGGAGTAGGACAATATAATTTTGAAGGGAAATGACATACATTAATTAATCTCTTTAGCTTTGTTGAAAATTTGTTTATTCTATTTTCCTTCTTATTTAGTCTCAGAGTTCCAGGCCTGGAGAATGACTTGATGTGAGTTGTGTAGGCTGCTGCTTGAGTCTCAGTTCAGCAGTCACTTGGGCTGGATTAGTTTTCGTTTCTGGTTTAGATACTCTTAATTTGGGTACATTGTGAGAGTTACATAAAGTTATACAGGTGTAAGTCTGGCCTGGCATTTGGCACATGCCAGGCATTTAGAGGCTCATATGTCTTTAAGTAGATGAAGCAGAGAAGGAATCAGAAACCCTTTTTCATACTTGACGTCTGTTTCCTACTGTGTCAGGACTCTTCCATTCCGTTTTGTCTGTTTCTCAGGTGCTAGGGATAGAACCCAGGGCTTCATGCTCACTGAGCACCTGCTCTCCTACTGCTATAGCCCTAACAAACTGACTGCCACTCACCATGAGGTGTAAGAACTGCTAGCCATGGTTGCTATAGGGTTTTTTCCCATGTATGATAAAGCTGGATTATCACTTACATAGCATGAAAGTATGTATGTTAATGTTCATGCAGTTAGATCTTCCACAAAGTTTTGGTCTTTCTGATTTGTAAATAGTTGTCACTGGTACACCTTTTTACTATTAAATTCAAATATTGTTATTATCAGTCTAGTGAATTTTGCCACAAATTTCTTCTTTTATATTAACTTCAAAGTAACATTGTAGTATTCATCTCCGCTGAGCATCTAGACTCTGGATTCTAGAGAGCAGTGTTTTTCTTCTTGATGAATGAGTCTTGCAATGGCTGACACAGCTGCATTGCTGGAGTTTGCTGTGCAGCAGCTATACCACCTCAGTTTCCATTTGCTCCAACAATTTTTCACTGATTATTTAGCGTCAGGAAATGGCCTCTTGGGTCTTCTAAGTTTCTTGTTTCCTGAACCTTCTGTACCTCCACAAGAGAGTACTTTAGTCTTGGAGAAATAGCCACACAAGAAGTAGAAAACAGCTTTCAACCTTTGGTGTGGCTGCAGGGCCTGAGATATTAACTGCCTGCCATGCTCACTGGAAGAAGAAGTCAAAAGCTAGAGAACTTAATGATATGACTAGAGGGTTGGTAGAGAGGTGACTCTGCAGTTTGAGGATGCTGCATTAAAGTTTGTGGAGGAGTAAATGGCTTGTATTGGTTGGCATGAGTTTTAGGAAGCAGACACTGATTCTGTGGAAGTGGCCCTGAAGTTCAAGGTGATACTTTGCTAACTCTTTCAAGTGATGTCTGTGTGTGTGGATGGGAGCGGGGGCTTGGAGGGAGAATAAAGTAACTACCTTAGGGTATAGCATGCTGGAGTATGAGATTGAGGATATAAGCAGAAGTTTGGAAATAGAGTCAGATGAGGAGAACCATATAAAATGGAGAATTCTGGGATCTTGGGCTTCTTTCCAAGATTGACATAAGTCAGTGGGGACTTTAGGGCTTGAATTACTATAGGGATGGTTTCTACAGAAGAATGTGGCTGTGTTAGGACAGAGGGAAGACATGCAGGTGCCTTCTGTCTCTGGCTGTGTTGGGTAAAATGTATTTTGTCATTTGCAAACATCTTCAGTAAGTGGGATACTGAGAGATTTTTTGGGATAGTCTCTTTTAAAATGTATCTACAGAGCTGGGTGGGGGTGGTACATGCCTTTAGTTCCAGTACTTGGGAGGTAGAGGCAGGTGGATCTCTGAGTTCGAGGCCCGTCTGGGCTACAAAGTGAGTTCTATGACAGCCAGGGCTACACAAACAAACCCTATTTCAGGAAAGCAAAACAAAACAAAGCAAAACAAAAAACCACAAACACCCAAAAGAAATGTATTTACAGACTGCAAATGAAGATTGGGAAACTATATTATTTTTAGAAAGATACCTAGCTATTTGGATGCTATTCCTCAAATATTTTTAATGCTTTTTAAAATTTATTTTCTTATTAGGTATTTCCTAGTGTTTTACACTTTTTTTTGTTTTCTCTCGAGGCAGGGTTTCTCTGTATAGCCCTGGCTGTCCTGGAACTCACTCTGTAGACCAGGCTGGCCTCGAACTCAGAAATCTGCCTGCCTCTGCCTCCCAAGTGCTGGGATTAAAGGTGTGCGCCACCACCGCCTGGCTCAGGAATGGAAACTTAATAAAACATATTTTAAGAAACTATTAAAGGAGATGAGGAATTATCTAAGGAAAGAGCAGCCCTGGAAGACAGACAGTACAGATACCCTAAGATAGAACAAGATGCCTGTGGTGGCCTGAATCAGAATGGTCCCACTTTGGAAAGGATTAGGAGGTGTGGCCTTGTTGGAGGAGGTGTGTTACTGGCTGTGGGTTTTAGGATTCAAAAGCTCACACCAGGCCCAGTATCTATATCTCTCTATATCTCTCCTCCCCCCCTCCCTCTCTCCCCTTTACCCCTTTCTCCCTCTCTCTCCACCTCCAACCCTGACTTATGGATCAGATGTGAGCTCTCAGCACTGCTCCAGTGCCACACCTGTCCGCCTGCTTCTTGCCATGCTCCCCCACCATGATGGCCACGGCCTCACCCTGAAATTGTAAGCAAGCCCTCAAAACCTACTTTCTTTTGTAAGTTGCCTTGATCATGGTGTTTCTTCACAGCAACAGAAAAAAGTAACTACAACAAACCTTAAGATGGAATCCCGCTGGCATGCTTGGTCAGCAAGCAGAGACCACTAAGCTAGAAGGTATGCTGTGAACAAAGTGCAATCTGTACAAGCACTTAGCAGATCCAAGCAGAGTAAAAAGGTAGCCAGATTAAACTTATATTACTCAAAAGAAGTCATGAGTAAGCTAGGCGGTGGTGACACACACCTTTAATCCCAGCACTTGGGAGGCAGAGGCAGGCGGATTTCTGAGTTCGAGGCCAGCCTGGTCTACAGAGTGAGTTCCAGGACAGCCAGGGCTACACAGAGAAACCCTGTCTTGAAAAACCAAAAAAAAAAAAAAGTTTCCATTCCTGACTTACATAAATAGCAGTTTGTCTCCCCAACACTCTCACCTATTCTAATTTATTTCCATAGAATTCATCACCACCGACATATAAATATAATTTATTCTATGTGTTATCTGTCTGTCTCTAGAAAGTTTAAGCTCCTTGAGAGTAATGTTTACATGTGTTTTGTGGACCTTAGTCTTGTATTTAGGAAAAGAAAACTATCTACCTGTAAATGGATACTTGTTGATTAGATTAGATAGGTTCAATTCAAGGTAGTATGGCCATAGACATATAGGTTGATTAAATTACTGAATTAGACAAGTTGAAGCAGTTGGTTTCCATTTTCAGGTTTGGAAGCCTGAGACTGCCTGATTTTGTTAATTGTACTGCTTTTTATATTGTACCGTATATCCATTCAAAACGTTGTCTGTAAGCTAAGTGCAGTGTCCAGAACCCTTGTGAGAAAGGCAAGTGTGACAGCTTGCTTGTGCAGTCCCAGTGCTAGAAACATGTGCTCAGTGAGTCCCAGGACAGTGAGAGACCCTGCCTCAGGAGAACAGGATGTATGGAGCCCAAGTCATAACATCCACGGTTGATCTCTGGCCTCTGGATACCTGCTTGCATAAACACATATAGTTAAAGGAAAAAAGAAACTGCTATTGAGCAATACTTTGTTTAAAATATGATTTTGTTTTATTTGTAAGTCATGAAATTTTGATCTGTGTTGTTATTTTTTTCATTTTAAAATAGATGCCAGAAGAAGAAGCTTTTTGTGTATTTGTTAAATTAATGCAAGACTACAGACTTCGTGAACTATTTAAGCCAAGTATGGCAGAACTGGGCCTTTGTATGTACCAGTTTGAATGCATGATACAGGTAAATAGCCACTCTCACCTTTTGTACTCCCTCTTCAAAATGTCATTTTAACAGACTTTATGTTAAAAGCACAGAAGCAAATGCTGAAGAGATGGCTCAGTAGTTAAAAGCAACTTTGGTGCTCTTGTAGAGAACCTGGTTCAGCTCCTGCCATCCACAGGGCAACTTACAACCATTTGTAAGTCCTGCTTTAGAGGGTCAGATGCCTTCTTCTGGACACAGGAACACACAGAACACATAGGTACATGCAGGGAAAATACTTAAACATATTTTAAAAGGGGGCAAAGCAACAGTTGGAAAAAAAAAAACACCAGTGTTTTAATTCCATGATGACTTAGTCAGTTTAACACAATTATACCTACTTCTAAATGAGGAGCTGTTAACAAGCCAGTCATAGTCTGGGGCTTTCTTATTCACACTTAAGCATTGGCGCCAAATGTGCCATAACTATTCTGTGTGCCTGCTGTCACTGCTGGGCAACCTGAGCCTCCTGTAGAAGGCCAGTTCACTCCTTGTGGACACTGTCTGTCTGTTGCATTCCTTCCTTCCCTCCTTTCCCCTGCCATCTCATTTTTCCCCCTATCTGATGATTTTTTTTTTTTTTTTGCATGTTTTCATAGTTTTATGTAACCAGCTTAAGATTCAAACGGTCTAGAAGTCACAGTAAAGGTGAAGAGGATTGGAATCAAAATAAAGTGTAAATTTTTTACTTTTATTTTTTTTAAGACAGGGTCTCACCGTAAAGCCTTGGCTGGCCTAGAACTTACATAGACCAAACTGACCTTAAACTCACACAGATCTTTCTGCTTTTATCTCCTGGGTGCTGGGATTCAAGGTTTGTGGCACTACACCTGGTGAAAAACATTTTTGAAAATTTTTAGGGGCTGGAGAGATGGCTCTGTGGTTAAGAGCACTGACTGCACAGAGGTCCTGAGTTCAAATCCCAGCAATCACATGGTGGCTCACAACCATCTGTAATGAGATCTGATGCCCTCTTCTGGTGTGTCTGAAGACAGCTACAGTGTATTCATATATAATAAATAAATCTTAAAAAAAAAAAAAAAGGCCAGGTGGTGGTGGCGCACACCTTTGATCCCAGCACTTGGGAGGCAGAGGCAGGTGGATTTCTGAGTTTGAGGACAGCCTGGTCTACAGAGTGAGTTCCAGGACAGCCAAGGCTACCCAGAGAGACCCTGTCTCGAAAAACAACAACAAAAAAAAAAGCTTTCTGAATTTTATTTTTATTTTTTAATTTAATTTAAAATTTTATTTGTAAATAAATAATCTTATGTACTGTCCTTTATAGAAAACTATGAGTATTTTTCTTTACTTACATTTCAGTTAGATGGAAAGAATATTAGAAGATGGGTCCGAATTTCTGTTGTTACAAGAGGCAGGTTTTTTTTTTTTTTTTAAAGATTTATTTATTTATTATATGTAAGTACTCTGTAGCTGTCTTCAGACACCCCATATGAGGGCATCAGATCTCACTGTAGATGGTTGTGAGCCACCATGTGGTTGCTGGGATTTGAACTCATGACCTCTAGAAGAGTAGTCAGTGCCCTTAACTGCTGAACCATCTCACCAGCCCAAGAGGCAGGTTTTTTAAGACTTTTTTTTATATAGCTCAGGCTGGCCTGGAACTCCCTGTGTAGACCGTCTAAACTGTCCTTGAACTCACAGAGAGATCCTCCTGCCTGTGCCTCTGGAGCACTGGGATTAAAGGTGTGCAACCACCACCCAGCTGAGAGTCACCTTTCTCTAGAATGATAAAATCCTGTGTGCTGTATAAAGAATGGGTCTATATGAAAATGTTTTTATCTTTTAAGAAAAAAAATCAGAATACATCTTGAGGTAATTTTTCTTCTTTCTATAATTTTCTACCTTTGTGTAATTTTGTTTGTTGATACAAACCTTAAACTCTTGGTGGTGTTAAGACATTATTGAAGGTCTTGTTATTTTTCCTACTTTTCAGGAGGTAAAGATGAATGACTGATGGTGTATATAGTACTCGAAAGTTCAGCATGACTTTTATTTAAACATTTTTTGAGATATTAAAATTAATTAAAAAGTATAGAAGATAATAGACAACTGCAATCACCAAGAAGGCGAAGAGGAATAAACATTTTGACTCTTTTGTTCAACACAGTGTTTATGGTTAGATGGCTATTTGACTATGATTTAGTTTTTCTTATCAGTGAATCTATGTGAAGACCCTGAAGTTCAGTTTCCAGTCATTTCTTTGCCCTTCCTAGATTGTAGCTGTTAACTCTGTATCAATGTTTATATTTGAGGTTTTCTGTAATTCTATCTTTGTGTTTAATGTAGGCATACTTGGGGATAATCTGGCTTGAAACCCTCAATTTTATTGTGTTTTAACTATTCTTTTCTCTTCTGTAGGAGTATCTTCCAGAGCTCTTTGTACATTTTCAATCTCAGAGTTTCCATACATCAATGTATGCATCATCCTGGTTCCTGACTATCTTTCTTACAACTTTTCCACTACCAATTGCAACAAGGATATTTGACATCTTTATGTCTGAGGTAAGCTCACATGAACAGACTGGGAATAACAGCAGAATAAAGGAGTTATTGGTTAATTAGGGCCGGGCAGTGCAGGGAGAATCGAGAGAGCCTTTGTTTCTCCACTGCACTGCTTCTGTAATTATCTCGTTTGAACCTCATAACAGCCTTACTGGGTGAGTTCTGATACCCCATCTGTTAGATGATAGATGAGGAAGCTGAGACTTACAGGGCGATTGAGTGGCCTGACTGGAGACATTACCGTAGTTGGGGCTGTATCCAGGATTCAAATATATACAGTTAAAGTTTTGGGCTTGCTCTCTAAATTTATCCTCTTTATCTCCTTTGAATGATACAGGGAGAGTAAAGGAGAGTAAATTCTCCTTCTCAGTTAATACTGTTGTAGTGTATCTATTTCCCAAATAAGACAGGTAATTCCTGTAGGTAAGCTGCTTTTATTCTGTGAAGGCTCTCCCATTGTCAGTTACATGGTAGTGATCTTTGTCTTCTATTGTCTGAATGTAATATTGTTACTTCTTGGAAGGATCAGTTTATATGATTTATCTAATACAGTTTGGGATGCAGTTGGCAGGCAACAGTTTAGTCAGTGCTGTGGTTTCCATATCAAATCTGTCCTCTCATTAGTTTTAATGGAACACAGCCCTGCCCGTTTTTGCATGTGTTGTGTCCATTGCAGGGTTACATGGTAGAGATGGATAGTTGGAAGGGTAGGCATCAAGTGTAAAATGCTTGCTCTCTGACTTTTAAAGAAAACGTGTGTCACTTCTCAGTTTAGATTCTTAAGTGCTTACTTTGGTGTTATTTTGAATGGTTAATTTTTTGTTGATGGAAGAGTAAACCAATTTAGCTTTCTCTAATTTGTTTTATCAGGGTTTAGAAATAGTGTTTCGAGTAGGATTAGCACTTCTTCAGATGAATCAGGCAGAGTTAATGCAACTTGACATGGAAGGGATGTTACAGGTAAGTCATTCATGACTCCTTAAATGCTTCTAGATTTGTCATTAATGGGTCATGTACAGTAACAATTCTGCCTTTCGTTTATTATTTCTTAGCACTTTCAGAAAGTCATTCCACATCAGTTTGATGGTGGCCCAGAAAAATTAATCCAGTCAGCTTACCAAGTCAAATACAACTCAAAAAAAATGAAAAAGTAAGTAATTTGTGTGATCTCACAGCTGTGGAACTTACTGAAGCATATAGGCAATTCAGTGGACATAGGAAACAACCCAGTGAAAAGTACCATAATTGGGCTGGAGAAATGGCTGTTCTTTCAGTGGTCCAGGAGTTCAATTCCCAGCAACCACATGGTGGCTCACAATCATCTATAATGAGATCTGGTGCCCTCTTCTGGCCCGAAGGCATACATGAAGGCAGAACACTGTGTACATCCTTAGGCTATAAACATTTCAATCTTACTAGGTAGTATTAGCTTCAGTATAACACAGGTAGCATTAGACTGTCATTCTGCTTTTAATAGTGATACACAGGGTCACTGTACATTACTTTTAAATGCCTTCCTCCTTCCCATTCTGATGGGAGTTAGGAATACTGCATGCATATGTGGGCAAGCGTGCTGTTGTTTGTAGTATTTACCGTTATTACTCTTGCTGCTGGGGAGTGAACAGAGGGACTGAGCATGCTCAGTACATGTTTTACCACCAGGTTGTACACCACGCCTGTTTATTAAAAACATATTGAGTGGTTCTAGCCACTGACGTGGCTTTCCTCTCAGTTCCGCCCCAGTGTTACTTCCATGGAGGCAGCACAACCAGCAGCAAGGATGAGACATTCAGAGTCTCATTTTACTTCCAAAACATTGAAGATAGTCAATCTCAGTTCCTGGCTTAAATTTTTTCTCTTATCTTAAAAATAATGTCAGTATATTAATTAAGAATCATAGCTGTCCCTTCTCCAGCTCCCAGTTCTTACTTAAATGATTCTTAGCCTAATGGCATAGTTAGAATTCATGTCACTGCAGCTTCTATGGTATAAAGTGTTTCTGAGCTGTAGCAATGCTTGCAGTAGCAAGATGTTTGTTGTTCTTTTGAGACAGCTTCTCACTTTGTAGGTCAGGCTGGCCTTGAACTCTGGCAGTCTTCCTGACTTAACTTATACTAAGATTAAAAGTGTCTGTGTCTGGCTTCCTCCCGTTTTCTAAATACAGTATTTTGTTCCAATCTTCATTCAGACACACGACATTCTCACCTCCGCTAGGTCCTCTGGGTCTCTATTAATGTCCCTTCTGCATTTTATCCTTCTATTTAGTGTTTCAATTACTGTCATTTCTTCTGCGTGCTTGCACCCACAGACAGGCCATCAGGCTTGATGGCGTCTGGCCACAGTCACCTCATGAGCCCTTTCTTTGTCTTACTTGTGATATGGCCTTATTGTGTAGCCCAGAATAGTCTGCAGTTCACTATTCTCCTGCCTGTGCCTCCTGGGTGCTGGAGTCGCAGGTGTGTGCCACCACACCTGGCCTTATTAAGCTCTCTTTATTTCATTTTCTTGTGCTAAGAAGGTAAATTTGCATTAACACTTAAAACTGCCAAAACAAAACCAGCATAGCATTCCATTTTGCTTTTAATGAAACTTAAATCTAAAGGAATAGTTTATAATCATTAGCTTGGCTCATATCATATTTTAAGTACCATTTTTTCAACCAGGGAAATATTCAGATATATAGAAAAATAGATTAGAATGATAAATATTCATATTTTGTATCTAGCATTAATAGTTATTAATACTTTGTCATATTTCTTTTCCTTCTTAGAAATTATAAAGCAAAGTACAAAACCCATGATACCTTATTCTCTGATACATCAGTATTCATGGTATAAAACAGTCACCTGCTGCCCTTGTTATGTGACTTTCACTTCTTAACCATGATGGCGGCGGGTGTCTAGTGCATGCATCGGATGTTACTGCCATGGACAGAATCACACTTGTGGACTACGTCTACATCTTCCTGTCCTGACCTCTCCCCCTCCACCCAGTCCACCGCTCTGCTATTTGCTTCCCATATAAATTGTTTTCAGTTACACCTCGAGGAGAAGTAAAGAGATGTATTTTATGTTAATATGTTCTTTGTTGTTGTTACTGGTTTTTTAGTACAGGGCTTCTCCGTGAAGCCCTGGCTGTCCTGGAACTTGCTCTGTAGACAAGGCTGGCCTCAGACTCAGAGATCCACCTGCTTCTGCCTCTCATGCCTGACTAACATGTCCTTTTTTTTTTTTTTTTTTTTTTTTTTTTTTTTTTTTTTTTTTTTTTTTCGTTTTTTTGTTTTTTCGAGACAGGGTTTCTCTGTGTAGCCCTGGCTGTCCTGGAACTCACTCTCTAGACCAGGCTAGCTAACATGTCCTTTTAAATTAAAGTTTAATAACTACTTTTGAATGAAAATATACCTTTAATTTTCTCTCTTCTTTTTAGACTTGAAAAAGAATACACTACAATAAAAACTAAAGAAATGGAAGAGCAAGGTGAAATTAAAGTAAGCATTACAGGGCTTTTCAAATTGCTGCAGATAAATTTCTTCAAGCCAGGAATTTGGTAGTAGATAAATTTGTATTTATGGGATCTTCCTGTAGTTGGAAGTAGGATGGTGTGACTGAAGTTGCTTTCTCTCTTGTGTGAGAAGAAATAGTTCTTTCCCTGCCTTGACCTGCTCTTCCTCAGAAGAAAACAGAGCTGTGGAAACTGCATTCTTCTGAAACAGTTTTAAACTTGCAGAGAAAGTGTTTGCTGTGTTGTGCGTTCCGAGCAGAGGGACGTAAGGGTAGCTGTACAGAACAGGCACTTTGCTTGAACTAGTTGAGCCTGTTGTGCTGTGGCAGGATCCCTTGGCCTGTGTCAGTTTTTCTCCTTTAAGCAAAAATTATGATTTTGAATTATCAAGAAAGCAGGTAGATTTTTCAGTTTGAAGGACAAATAAATATATTTGTACTCTGAAATCCTTCTCTGTAAGCCAAGGAATTCCTTTTTAGTTTAGAAAATACTGTTTTCTGTAATCATGTAAATTAGGTCAGACATATTTAGTACAGTGTACCTTGTGCAAGTAGAAAAAATCAGTTTGATGTCTTTAGAGTGATATAACCCTTAATGTCTGTCCAGTGCCAGCTCAGCACCATGGACTCAGATATATTTCCCAAAGGTCCCTAAAGGCTAGAACTTTTAAACCCCTCTGAGCTTACTGCTCCACCTTAAGTGCTAGACTGTAGGCATTTGCCACCATGCCTGGCAAAGTCAAACACTTCTTATTACAATTATTTACTTATTTATTTTTGTGTGACTGTGTATGTGTGTGTTAATAGGTTCTTTTTTTGTTGTTGTTGGCTTTTTAGTACAGGGTGTACCATAGTACCATGGTGTGGTATGTCTTACATACTCTTACATACATGATTCTCTTCCTTAGACTACTATGTCTGCCCCAGAGATTAAACTCAGCTCATCAGGCATGGTGTCAAAGTGCCTTTATTGACAGAGCCCATCTCGCTCTGGTCCAAGCCTAGAATCCATATGAGCCATTACTGCACTCAGAGTTGAAGTTTGGAAGTTGGCTTTTTTTCTGATGTTGTGGGATGGGGATAATGAATTATGTACTCTGCTTGGATGATCCAGTATCTAATTTCTCCCTAGTATGCCAAAAATAAAACAATTTAAAGAAATGTTATTATATGCTAGGCAGTGGTGGTACACGCCTTCATCTGAGCTCTTGGAGGTAGGCAAAGGCAGGTGGAACTCCGAGTTTGAGGTTACTCTGGCCTACAGATTTGAGTTGAGGACATCCAGGGCTACACCGAGAAACCCTATCTTAAAAAAAAAAAGAAAGAAATGTTAATGTATTAGTTTGGGTTTCTATTGCTGTGAAGAGAAACCATGACCAAGGCAACATTTAATTGGGGTTAGCTTACAAGTTCAGAGGTTCAGTCCATTATCATCATGGTGGGAAGCACAGATGGAGCCAAGAGAGTGTTATATCTTGTTCTGAAGGCAAACAGGAGAAGATAACTTCCAGGCAGCTAGGAGAAAGGTCCAACAAAGCCACACCTCCCAACAGGACCACTTCCTAAGGGTCAAGCATACGCAAACCACCACAGTTAATGTATTTATTGATGAGGATGACTCTGTGGGACTTGATTCTTTCCTTCTGCCCTATGGGTACCATGGATTGAACTGAGGGTATCAGACTTGGCTGCTAATGTGTTTCCCTGCAGTCCTCTGTCCACCCCATACAACAACTTAAAAATAGATTTACTTATTTTATTTTATGTATGAATGTTTTGCTTGCATGAATGTTAGTACACCATGTATACACCTAGTGCCCTTGGGGTTCAGAAAGGATGCTGGAGCCCTGGCATTGGCTTTAATGCTGACTGTGAGCTACCACATGGGTGCTGAGAACTCAGCTCAAGTTTTCTGAAAGAGGAGCAAATGCTGTTAACTGCTGACATAAACTAACTTTATTGAATATATTCTTTCCTCTATTAAAAGCTGATAGGTGTGTCTGATTTTGACTTGGACCTGGTAAGACATCAGATGGTAACCATTAACTGTTATTGGGCATGGCTATAAAATACTGCTTGATCCTAAATGGCTTCAATTAAATGAGCGTGCATTTTTGGCTCAGTTTTCCTCAGAAGCCTCCTGTTCCGAGAGAACCCACCTCATGGCAACTGTCTTCCTTTATGCATGCCTCCATACAGTTCTGTCAGCTGGTCCATATCTGTTGGAGGTTTGCACATCTGTTCATACCGAGGAACCGTGTAGGTCTCCTCCTCCTCCTCCTCCTTCATTGTTACTAAACTGCTGCTCGGTAGTTTGTTTTGCTTTTAGAGCTGTGAGTACTGTTAGGTCATTCCCCACGTGGGAGCCTGCGGGAAGGAAGAGTCTTCGTCCTGGTGAGTGGGTATAGAGTGTGGCTTATCACGAAATGTGAACACTTGGAACTGCAAAATCAATCAAGTGTCTGAGGATGGGGAGCCATCTTGTATTTTATCATCTTCATTTACAGTTCTACAAACAATTCTTGGTCTCAAGAGATGTCACACAAAATTGAGTCATGTAAATATAGAATCAAAATAGCATTCTCAGAAAGATCCTTAGGGCAGTGACTTAGAGTGCATAACAGTCTAAACAAAAAGTAACCCTTAAGAAAGTGCACTGGGGCTGGAGAGGTACTTGACAGTTAAGTAGCACTTCAGAGACCCGAGTTCAATTCCTAGTATGAATTGGCAGCTTACAACTCTCTGTAACTGCAGTCTACAACTGTAGTCCCGTGGGATATTGTATCAGTCCGTTCTGCCCCACGTTTGGGGGCCACTTTGTCCCGGCCTGAGCTGCTGCTCCAGTCTGTGGGTCAGGGTAGCAAGAGAGAGTGGAGATGGAAGGGCAAGAGATGGGAAGAATGGAGACAAGACAGAGGGTCTGGTCAAGTCCGTTTACTGAAAGGAAATCCTGGGTATATATAAGCACAAGCAGAGGCATGCAGCTGAAGACACTTTACCACATGCACCTGGGGGCTCTAAACAACAAAACAAGATATGTGAGAAAAACAAGATGTTTATCAGAGTGTGCTCAGCTGTTGTAGGCTGTTGAAAACAAGTCTCTTGTCAGCGTATATGGCCTGAGGTGGCTGCAAAGATGATAGCTGCTTTCTGCTCAGAGTTGGTTCCCAACAGGATATGATGACCTCTTCTGGTGTACAGATGTACATATCCATATACATAAAATATGTGTGTGTGTGCGCGCGCGTATGTGTGTATTAACAGTGAAGTAGGTACTGTGTATTAATCAGTTGTACCTTTTAGCTAATTATGAAGTCACATCACACAAATGTTTATACAGTGATTTATTTAAACACAGTATCAATGCCCCAGAGTTGGGGGATACCTTTGGTGGGGGCACCCTCTCAGGCTAAGGGGAAAGGGTGATGGAGGAAGAACTCTGCAAGGAGGGGCTGGGAGGGGAAGCATTTGGGATGTAAGTAAATAAAATAATTAATAAGAAAAAGCTGTTAAAAATTAAGACAGTATCAAGATATTTGGTTAGGTGTTTTTTGTTTGTCCACTTGTTTTGTTTAGAAGGAGTATTTATGGGAAAATGGAAGATTTAAAGGGGAGATGGAAATCCTGGTGAATATTCTAAATTTTATTTTAGTATGATTTCTATTGTAATTAACTTGTACAGTGTTTCTGGTTCAAATTTAACAGTCTTAAGTCTTTTAAGATAAACAAAATGTTACCTTTTGTTGTTAAAATATAATTTAGAAAACCTGGAGAATAAATTTTTGGGGGGTGGTGGTGGTGGTGGTGTCACTTTCCAGACTATTAACAATGTTTGTAATTTGTGGCAGCTGCTATACTGCAAATAGTTGGAGTGAACACTGGAAATAACTACACACACACACAAACACATAAAATTGGGCTGGAGAGATGGCTCAGTGGTTGATAGCACCGACTGCACTTCCAGAGGTCCAGAGTTCAATTCCCAGCAACCACATGGTGGCTCACAACCATCTGTAAGGTGATCAGATGCCCTCTTCTGGTGTGTCTTAGAACAGAGACTATGTACTCACATACATAATAAGATAAATAAAAATCTTTAAAAAAAAACACATAAAATTTAGGATCAATTTATGGGATTAATAAATTATGTTGATGGACTATAAAATATATATGAAGAGATTAGTTGTCAAAGTGGAAATATTTAGATTTAACAGATGATAGAAATTTGATAAGTATTGAGAGTCTGTCATTAAATAATTGTGTTATTCAAATGGCATTGAACATTTTTTTAAATCTGATTTTACTTTTTGTACAATAAGAAACTACTAGTAGTTAGAGTTTTTAATTTTCTTAATTAGAAACAACTCATGGTAAATGCTTCACAATATTTATAGATTGTAAGGCTTTTTGTACTGTGGCATTTGTAATATGAATGAAAATTGGTATAGTTTAAGCAACAATTTGACATTTTCCCTATGAGCATTTATATATCAAGTTTATTCTTTGTTCCACTAATATTTGAATACCAATTATATTGTTAGGCTTTGTAGGAGACAAGGGATGTTAGAATAAGAATATTATAAGCCAGGCTGGAGATAAGGCTCAGCAGGTAAGACCACTAGCTACTCTTCAGAGGACCAGGGCTCAATTCCCTGCACCTACATGGTGGCACATAACTGTCTGTATCTCCATTTCCAAGGGGGTCTAGCACCTTCTTCTGGACTCCTTTGGCACTGCACACATGTGGTACACAGATACACATTCAAGCAAAACTCATACACAGAAAATTAAAATAAATCTTAAGAGAAAAAGTACAAGCCATTATAAATGGAGAAAACAAAGGCTATCTATGTATGCATTACATTTAATGTTTAAAGTTTAGTCTCAGCTGGAATGACAAATATGATTGTTTCCTTTGCAGTGTATTCTTAATCAGTGTTTGATAATCTAACAGTTCCTTACAGTCATTTCTTATTATAAAAGGTGGCACATTCTTTTTTTTTTTTAAGGTTTTTATTTATTTATTACATGTATGTATACTGTAGCTGTCTTCAAACACCCTTTAAGAGGGCATCAGATCTCACTGTGGATGGTTGTGAGCCACCATGTGGTTGCTGGGATTTGAACTCATGACCTCTGGAAGAGCAGTCAGTGCTCTTAACCACTGAGCCATCTCACCAGCCCAGGGTGGCACATTCTTAACACCGTTACTTAGGGATCTGTTGTTTTCTCTCTCAAGAATCCTTGCAAACTTTTTTTTTTTTTTCTTGGCAGAGGCTACGCACAGAAAACAGGCTTTTAAAACAGCGCATTGAAACATTAGAAAAAGTAAGTAAATGACTATTTCAAGTTTCTGTTGAATGATCATTGTTTAACTATAACAAATCTTTACAGAATTTAGAGTGTGTGTTACCTAAGATGTGCTGATCTCTGCTTCCCTAGCTCATGTGCTCTCTATTACTAGGGAACACCCACAGAAACACTTACTGGAAGTTAGTGCTGGAGTAATGTACTGATATCCTTTACTTTCTTTTCATAGAACCTCTAAAAAGTATGACTTAGTTGGGAGTACATTTAGACAGGATGTTTTAAAGATGAATTTCAAATGTGCCCTGTCTTTTTACCACACGTCGAACATGGCGATGCTTCTTTTAAGGCGTGTAACAAACAGCTTTACAGTTAGTCAAAGTGACTGATTCCCACTTTAAAATCTGTTTTCATGTTGTTTTTCAACCAGGTACTTTTATAACTCTTTGGTTATTAGAATTGACTTGATATCTGCTCACTAGCTTTTTCTTCCTGTTTCATTTAACATAACTAGAAAGCAAGAAAGTTTTCCTATTTTTCTTATTGTGCCTTTGATAGAGTGTCTTTTGTAGTGGTGTTTTAAAAGAATTAATTGGTTAATATAATTTAGGAGTCTTCTTGGGGTAGGCATGTTGCATGCACAAAGTCCTGATTTCAATCTCAGCACTATAATCTGGACATGGTGTTGCATCTTCATAATCCTAGCACTTGGGCAGTGGTGGGAGTAGGATCAGAAGTTCAAAGTCATCCTTAGGTATAGTGTGAGTTTCAGATCAATCTAGGATACTCCTTTTGAGACTGTGTCTCAAAAGCAAAAACAACCAACACAAGAATGTTTCTTAATTGAAAACAGCCAAATTCAGAAGCTTTTTTAAAGCTAAAGGTTCAGCCGGGCGGTGGTGGCACACGCCTTTAATCCCAGCTCTTGGGAGGCAGAGGCAGGTGGATTTCTGAGTTTGAGGCCAGCCTGGTCTACAGAGTGAGTTCCAGGACAGCCAGGGCTACACAGAGAAACCCTGTCTCGAAAAACCAAAAAAAAAAAAAGCTAAAGGTTCAGAGTGGTGTGAATATGACACTCCCGATACTACCAAGTGTATTTACAATCTCTCTGAAAGTTCATAGCTAAATATCCAAAAGAGAAATAACTAGAAAGGGGGAGAGTTTGCAGTGTTTGTCTTTTATTCTAGAAACTTCATGATTTTATATTAAATAGTGTTGCAGAAGAGCAAGATATTCATTGCAGGTTTGTTGATGGTGTAATGGTTGCATACTTTATACCAAGTCAAATATAGTTCTTATAAGATTGTCTCGAAGCGGCTTGGAAGGCAATTTTACTTTTTGATGATTGTATATCTATATTGAGTGTATTAAGTCCTTTTGATCTGTATTTCCCTGCCCTCACTAAGCACCCAGCTTACAGTAAAATATGCAGCTTAAGTGACTTTCATCATTAGATATTTTCATAGAGAAGGCACTATTTTATCAGACCTTTGGATCTAAGAGATAGTTTGGGTTTTGTGTCTAGAAAGTTGAGTAGCTGTTTTCTCCTGGCATCTGGCCTCAGGTTTTGACTTCAACCTTAGAATTCTCTAAGTATTTAGGTCTCAGTTGAATTCCTGAACCAAATTGTTCATCCTAGATTATTTAGAGTTTAAGTTGATTTTCTGAATTTCTCTTGTCAGCTCTCCTTCCCTGTTTTTTCTGGTGCTGACTTTACACCCAGTTGCTGCCATGTTTGCGAATAGAATTTTTCTGACCCATATCCCTTTGTCCCTTTCATGAAGTGGTTTGATGATATGATTAGGCCTGAAAACAAAAGATTTAAAGATATATTTTCAAGAAAAAAATACTTGTTTGTCCTAAGTAATGAAACAGTTGTCTCTTTTAGAGACACGATTATCTGTAATCTGTCCCTATTAAGATTTAAAAATAAAAACATTTATTAAAATAAGTTTTAATTTAAATTTCCATTTTAATTAACAGTGAAAAAAAAGTAGATGGAATTTGGGTGTGGATGTTTCTTCTTATTCCTAATTTTATCACTTTGATTTCCTGTCTTTTATATTTCTATCTAAATTTTTCCTTTTGTAGGAAAGTGCTTCCTTGGCAGATAGATTGATACAGGTATAGTTTTTTATTTTTATTTTTAGTGTTTTTGCTAACCTCTAAGGAATCCTAAACTTAGAAACTCATACTTTATGCATGCAATTTTACATGCATTTTTCTAGAAATAATTCTTTGGACTGGCATATGGCTTTATACTTAATGTTTTGATAAACAGATTATCATTAATTGGGTGCCTACCTCTGTATGTTTTAAAGCTAACCTGATTTTTAAAGTATTTATATTAATTGGCAAACAGTGGTTTCTATGACATTAACCACTGTTCATTGACATTTTACTTCTGCATGTACAACTCAGTAATATTGCATGAATTGTATTTTTTATTAATTTAAGGGAAGAATTCTTAAAACTGTCAGATGAAATTTTCATTTAGTTTTCTCAAATTTGCTAGAGCAAAATAACAAACTTCTGGCTAATTACCTAGTCTATTCTGTTCTTTGAGGTATTTTTTTTTTTAACATGTCAAAAAAATAACTAAAACTCACAAAGCAGTCTGTCTTCTAAATTGCTTTATACACACAAAACAATTATGTCCTAAGGGACAAGTGACCAGAGCCCAGGAGGCTGAGGAAAACTACCTCATAAAACGGGAGTTGGCCACCATCAAACAACAGACTGATGCAGCCAGGGCTAAGCTGGAGCAGGCTGAAAGCACCATCAGGGAGCTCCAGCACCATCGCCACTGGGTAAGGAGTCTGCTGGAGCTTGTCTTGCCTTCCCTTTAGGTCACACTGTGAAAGCACAGCTCTAGGTGAACCATTAGGCATTCCCTGTGTGTTCTGTAACTCAGAGAAGTTCTACTATGGCCATAAAGATTCCTGTGCTTTTTGTCTTTGGTTTTGTTAGAAATAGATAATATTTTCTTTTATGTTATACTCTAAGTCCTAGAAAATAAGCAATGTGCAGTGCTTTGTATATTTTCAGAGCTTTTTCTTCTAGGAGGTAATCTTGACATTTAGTTTTTGATCAATTGTAAAGATGAATTTAGTACTCAGAATTTAGAATATGTGCATTTAAAACTTTCATAATGTTGACAGCTTATATTTCATGAAATATTCTAGCTTGGACTTCCTATTTCAGACCATTGAGTTATGGATTAGAATGTATGCTTAGATTTACTTGAAGAGGAGACAAGTTGTCACACAGGGGAAATAATTCTTAAAAAATACTAATTTCATCAACCTAAAGGTGTGAACAGCCACTGATTGTACAGCTAGCCTTGAGTATTATCTTAGTCAGGGTTTCTATTGCTGTGATGAAACACCATGACCAAAAGCAGTGCGGGGAGGAAGGGGTTTATTTGGTTTATGCTTTCCTGGCACTGTCTATGATGGAATGAGGTCAGGACAGGAACTCAAACACAGCAGGAACCTGGAGGCAGGACATGATGCAGATGCCATGGAGGGTGCTGCTTACTGGCTTGCTCTCATGACTTTCTCAGCCTGCTTTCTTACAGAACCAGGAGCACAGCCCAAGGGTGACCCCACCCACAATGGGCTGGGCTCTCCCCCATCAATCTCTAATTACGAGAATGCCCTACAAGGTTGCCTACAGCCTGATCTTACTGAGGCATTTTCTCAATTGGTGGTCCCTCCTCTCAGATGATTCTTGCTGTGTTAAGTTGACATAAAAACTAGCTGGCGTGGGTATCTTTTAAAATTTAGACATAATTTCCCATTGTCACATTAAGAGTAAGGTGAGCTTAACAGAATTGTGAGGATTAGACGGAAAAGCAGCTGTTATATAAGGAAGTTGTTGCTTCTGTTCTCAAGTAGGAACTGGAGAAAGAGAAAGCCTACAATTCTAAAGCCAGAACAGCAGATACAATGACTACAAAGTGGGTGTTACTTTTACTCAGTAAAACTAAGAAACATCATTATGTGTATTCAAAAGTTAAAGACTAAAAGGAGAAAGGGCAGTGAAAGCCATAGAAGTTTCTTTTCTGTTAGTGAAGGCAGTTAAGAAGAATGAGTACATTAAAGTAATATTAAAGAGACTACAACTGCAGTAGCTCTGCCTTTATGTGAAATTTAGGTAATAAAAAAGCATGAAACAGAAAAACAGAATTCTAGAAATGAAGTGGAAATGAGTGGTCACTGGAGTGCTGCTTGTTTGGAAGTGCGTTAAAGCTGGGAAGCATAAATGACAGTTGATGTTGAAACCAGTGCGTGAAAGTGAACCAAGTGTACAGAGGACAGTTGACAGCCAGAGTCACCTGGGTTGACAAAAACAAGCAGAATGTACTTAGGCTTTTCTGACTAAACGTGACAGAGAACCTCCATACTCATCTTTGAAGGTCAAATAGACCTGCACTATGGAGCTGAAGTTTACCAAGGAGAAAGCCGATATTTATTTCAGAGTTTATTTACCTTTCCTCACAAAGAGGATGATCTCTTAAATTGTAGTAAATTGTAGATCATAGAAATAAAGCTATGAGGGTATCCTGAATAAAGTTTTAAGTGAATTTCCAAGTTCAAGTTTTATATCTAAGATATTAAAAATGCCTTGCAAAATTATTGTAGAAATAGTAGAGATTGTATTTTTAGAAAATGAGAGATACAGCAGACTTTCATGTGTAGACACATGTGTTTCTCACAGAAAGCAGTGAGAATTAGATTTGTGAATATGGCCTTCTTTATGCTTCATTTAGAATTCTTAGAAATCTATTTTATGGTGAAAGTTAATTTGCTATGTCAAGACAAACATGTTATTTTGTAGCAATAGCTACAGTTTTATAAGTAGTTTGGTATGTTCTTTAACGGAACTTTTTCCAGTCAAGACATAAATCAAGATGAAAAAAGTAAATATCAGTGGTTAAGTATATCAAGAGACTAATATGTTTCTGTGAGAAGGTGTCAAAGGGCTTTGCTGCTTACATCTCACCTGTGCATATTAGGCGGCCCATGTGCACAATATGTTCAAGAACATTATGTGTTGACCTACTTGAAAGCCAGTATTTTAGATGATAAATCAAGATTAATTCTTAAATATTACAAACATTTAATCCCTATTGAGAACAAGGTGAAAGATCTCACAAAATTGATAGTTAGTCCTGCCTTCCAAAAGTTAGTCCTGCCTTCCAAATTAAGACTCAAACATTTATCTTACCAATGTCATATGTAGCAAAATTATAAGAGATTTTAATTGAGAGAAAATTAGAATCTTATCTATTGCAATTTTGGACAAAAGAAATACTTTTGAAAGTAGTAGATATGCCAGTGACAGGAAATAAGTACAGTTATTGCTAGTTTGCTTATAGTCTTCCTTTAAATACAAGTTTATGAATGTTTGACCTGTCACAATTAGTGCTTAAGATCCACACTTCAGAAGTAGGTAATGAGTTTCTAGAATAGCTTCCTCCTGCCACCACCCACTCCTGCCATCTTCGTAGCATTTTCTATGCTGTGAGGAGCTTTAGGCTTTAGTCCTATTTTGCTAACGGTAATCTTTGATGTTTAATGCACTTTTGTTTGGTTTCAGAAATGATTTAAGTAGAGCTAGACCATTTCAAGTCTCTCTTTTTTTCCACATAATTTGTGAAATTTAAGTATGTAATTTGGTGTGTTTAAATGTAGAGGGATTGTGTAGTCACCACGATAAAAATGACAATTTTTGTCACTCTCCGTGTGTCCTGGGTTACAGTTCATTTTCTACCCTCATCCCAGCCTCAATACTTTGGACTTTTCTAGAACTTTCTGTAAGTGGAATGGTAAGTCAGATTAAAAGTTTCTTTTAATTATCACATACATTTTCTTTTTTACGTGGTATTTTTTATTGTGATAAAACATATGCAACATAAAATTTACCAATTAAGTCTGTTTCCATTGTTTATAAACATTACCACTGCTTATAAAAATTCTAATGGTTTTATACTCTGCAATCTTTTTTTTTTGTTTGTTTTTGTTTTTGTTTTTTGAGACAGAGTTTCTCTGTGTAGTTCTGGCTGTCCTGGAACTCACTCTGAAGACCAGCCTGGCCTCGAACTCAGAAATCCGCCTGTCTCTGCCTCCCAAGTGCTGGGATTAAAGGCGTGCGCCACCACCGCCCAGCTGCAATCTTTAAATAACAAATAAAAAAGTTTAATATAATGAAAAGGCTTACAAAAAATATGACACATTTAGTCAGTGTGGTTTCAGTAAATATGTACTGATGGGCCTGGAGAGGTGGCTGAGTGGGTAGAAACACCTGTTCTTTATAGAGGACCCAGGTTTGATTCCCAGCACCCACATAGTAGCTTGCCACCATTTGTGATTAAAGTTCCAACTCCCTTTTCTGGGTTCTTTGGGTACCTCCCATGCATACATACTTGTAGGCAAACATGTAACTATAATAAAAACATCACTATTAAAAACACTAAAAAACAGATGTGCTTATAGAAGCATACAGAGTTCTGTGCTGAAACAGCAAGATGATCAGGGTAGGATCAGAGGGAAGCAAGTGTAAACTGTTTCAGGGCTGGGCTTAGACATATCTTAATACAGGGTATGCTTGTCTTTAGAATAAAGAGGAAATGCAGTGTGAACTGAAGCAGAGTAGGTCAGTGGTCTGGAGTAGAGAAATGAGCTCCAAAAGGAGCCTGGCCAAGAGTTTGTAGGACTTTAGCCCCCAAATCATTTGAGAAATAGAGAAGATAGGAATTTGTAGTGTCTGGGTTTTCACTGATTGATGAGAAGAGAGCTTCCTTGGCCACTGGTGGTCCTAGGCGCTATTATTACCCATAGCTAAGGTTTTATATGATTTTAAGATATGATGTTGGAATAGGACAATTCTGTTTGCTGTGCAAGAGGACAGAGACCTGTGGTCACTTCTAGGGATAAGGTGGGCATATTATCTAACTGGACAGTACTGTGACAGATCAAGTAGAGCAAGTCAGTTTTCAGGGAGGAATTTGTATTTGGGTCATGGTTTCAGTTCATAGTTGTTTTCTTGGGCCAATGGCAGTATTCATATCATCATGAGAAGTCTAGGTGTGGGACTCTGTTCCTCATGGCAGCCAGGAAGCAGAGATGGAGTCTCTCTCAAGGGTATATCCCTAGTGTACCCCCTTTAATACACCCCCCCTCTCTTTTTTGGTTTTTCGAGACAGGGTTTCTCTGTGTAGCCCTGGCTGTCCTGGAACTCACTCTGTAGACCAGGCTGGTCTCGAACTCAGAAATCCACCTGCCTCTGCCTCCCAAGTGCTGGGATTAAAGGCGTGCGCCACCACTGCCCGGCTTACACCCCATCTCTTAAGGTTTCGCATTCTTCATGTCCCTGTCTCTGAAGGAACATTAAGGATCTAAACAACAGCAGTTGGCCCTGTAGGTGAGCGACATCTATTCAGTAGCAGAGATTTGGAAGGAACAGTAGGCTGTTGTACGGCTTCTGGAAATCTGTATAACTTGAGAGCTGATAGAGACTCTTCCCCATTGTGAATTTTCAGGAGTTAAAGATTGAGCCAGTCTGCCCACAACTCTTGGGTAAAATGTGCTAATTAAAGTCAGAATGTGATGGTTTGAAAGAGCCCCATAGGCTCTTCCATAGGCTTAGTCCCTAGCTGGTGGACTGTTCAGGAAGTACTAGACGGCATGGCCTTGGAGGAGTAGTAGCACTGGGGATGTGGACTTTAATAAGAGCTCAGAACGCCAAGCCATGCCCAGCCTCTCTGTCTCCATCTTGCTGATCAGATGTCAACTCTCAGCTATTG